CATAAATAATACAAGCCTTCTTGAGGTCGTCATATATGTAGCCTCAGAGCCTCAGATCACCCGTTGGCTCCAGCGTATCACGTGAGGGTTATCGCAATGTCTTTCCAAATAAAAAAAAAGACGAATAAGAACACGCGAGAAAAGAAACCTATACTCAATGATATCAAAGATATTCAATGATATTCAATGATATTCAATGATATTCAATGATATTCAATGATATTCAATGAGTGTCGCTCATAATCGCGTTTGACCGCCGACTCCACCGAACCTCCCACCAAGCCCCGCGCTCTCATTCGTTCATTCAGCGTGGGAAATTTAATTGCCCGCATTTCGCACAACCACCCCTCCTTATACCTCTTCATCTCCCAAGATACTTATCCGGCGATTCGTGGCGCGATCGGCGCCTTGGAGATTTACTCCTCAATATCGTGCATTCTCCAGAATGGCTCAGAACTCTGCCCCCCAAAATCCCAGTGAGTTTCATGACTCATTCCCTCAGATGTCGCAAAAGCTTACAGTGAACAGCGGGTGAGCGTACAGCTCCCGTGACCAGCGCACCTCCCCAGGCCAGCCAACAGACCGGCTCACAGATCGCCGATGCTATCGCAAAGGACCCCCAGGGCCAGAACCAGGAGGCCGGAGCTCCCAAGGTGAAGACTGAGAAGGAGTGTATGTTGCCACCACATCCTATATTGGGATCTTTCCTCGGAAGTCGTTGTTAGATCAAAGGCGCTTGCTGATACTTTGTGTGATTTCTAGTGGAAAAGGAGCGCAAGAAGGCCGAAAAAAATAAGAAGTTCGAAGAGAAGAAGGCGGCCAAGGCCAAGGCTGCCGCCAGCAAGGCCGCAGCTCCCAAGGTCGAGAAGAAGGTGAAACCCGAGAAGGATAAGACTACCGATGCCTACGATCCCATTGCCATCGAGTCCGGTCGTCTCGACTGGTGGGAGGAGCGTGATCTTTTCAAGCCCGAGTTTGGACCTGATGGCAAGGTTAAGCCGGAAGGCTCCTTCGTCATCCCCATTCCCCCTCCAAATGTTACCGGTTCTCTTCATATGGGCCACGCCCTTACCAACGCCCTCCAGGACACCATGATCCGATGGCAAAGAATGAAGGGCAAGACTACCCTGTGGCTTCCTGGAATGGACCACGCCGGTATCTCTACCCAGAGTGTCGTCGAGAAGATGTTGTGGAAGAAGGAGAAGAAGACCCGCCATGACATTGGCCGAGAGGCCATGGTTAACTTGATCTGGGATTGGAAGGATGAATACCACAAGAACATCAAGAACTCTCTGCGCAGACTTGGTGGTTCCTTCGACTGGAGCCGTGAGGCCTTCACCATGGACCCCAACCTATCAGCTGCTGTGACCGAGACCTTCGTTCGCCTCCACGAGGAAGGTATCATTTACCGTGCCAACCGACTGGTCAACTGGTGTGTTGCTCTGAACACCTCTTTGTCCAACCTCGAGGTTGAGAACAAGGAGATCGAGGGCCGCACGCTTCTCGACGTGCCCGGCTACGAGAAGAAGGTCGAGTTCGGTGTCCTGACTCACTTCTGCTACGAAATTGATGGAACCACCGAGCGCATCGAAATTGCTACCACTCGTCCCGAGACCATGGTTGGTGATACTGGTATTGCCGTCCACCCCGACGACAAGCGCTACCAGCACCTGATCGGCAAGAACGCTCGCCATCCGTTCTTGGATCGTCTGCTCCCTATCGTCGCTGACCCCGAAGTTGAGCCCGAATTTGGTACTGGTGCCGTCAAGATCACCCCTGCCCACGATTTCAACGATTTCAACCGTGGTAAGGCCCACAACCTGGAGTTCATCTCTGTGATGAACGACGATGGTACCTTCAACAAGCATGCCGGTCCCTTCGCTGGCATGAAGCGCTTCGATGCCCGTTACAAGGTTATCGAGGATCTCAAGGAGAAGGGTCTATACGTCAAGTGGGAGCACAACCCCATGAAGGTGCCTCGTTGCGCCAAGTCCAACGATGTCATTGAGCCTATCATGAAGCCGCAATGGTGGATGAAAATGGAAAGCCTGGTTCAGCCTGCCATCGATGCCGTTGAGAAGGGTGATATCATTATCCGCCCCGAGTCCGCCGAGAAGAGCTACTTCCGCTGGATGCGAAACCTCAACGATTGGTGTCTGTCCCGTCAACTCTGGTGGGGCCACCAGGCTCCTGCTTACTTCGTCAAGATTGAAGGCGAGGATGGCGATGACAGTGACGGCAACCTCTGGGTCACTGGCCGTACTGAGGAAGATGCTCGCAAGAAGGCCGAGGAGAAGTTCCCCGGCAAGAAGTTCTCTCTAGTCCGCGATCCCGATGTTCTCGACACTTGGTTCTCTTCTGGCCTGTGGCCATTCTCTACCCTGGGCTGGCCCAGCAAGACTCACGACTTCGAGAACCTCTACCCCACCTCCGTCTTGGAGACTGGTTGGGATATTCTCTTCTTCTGGGTTGCCCGTATGATCATGCTTGGTCTCAAGATGACTGGCCAGGTTCCTTTCCGCGAGGTCTACTGTCACTCCCTGATCAGAGATTCTGACGGCCGCAAGATGTCCAAGTCTCTGGGTAACGTTATTGATCCTCTGGATGTTATGGAGGGCATTCAACTCCAGGCTCTTCACGACAAGCTGCAGTTGGGTAACATCGCCGAGAAGGAGATTGCCACTGCTACCAAATATCAAAAGAAGGCCTTCCCCAAGGGTATTCCCGAGTGTGGTGCCGACGCTCTCCGCTTCGCCCTCGTCTCTTACACCACTGGTGGTAGGTTCCATCCCATATTTCCTTTTTTTTTTTTTTTTTTTTTTTTTTTTTTTTTTTTTTTTTTTTTTTTTACTAATAATGATTTGTAGGTGGTGATATTGCTTTCGATATCCAGGTCATTCACGGCTACCGTAAGTTCTGTAACAAGATTTACCAGGCCACCAAATTCGTCCTCGGCAAGCTGGGCGATGACTTCAAGCCCCAGGCCGGTGTTAAGAAGAATGGCAACGAATCTCTCTCCGAGCGCTGGATTCTGCACAAATTCAACGTCGCTGCCAAGGAGATGAACCAGGTTCTCGAGCAGCGTGAGTTCTCCAGCGCTGCCCAGATCTCCTACCAGTACTGGTACGCCCAGCTGTGCGATGTGTTCCTCGAGAATTCCAAGTACCTGCTGGCGGATGAGGCGTCAGCAGAGACCAAGGAGTCTGCCAAGCAGACCCTCTACACAGCTCTTGAGGGTGCGCTGACGCTGATCCACCCCATCATGCCGTTCGTCACCGAACACCTGTGGCAGCGTCTGCCTCGCCGCGTAGGCGACGAGACCATCTCGATCATGAAGGCCAAGTACCCCGAGTACCTTGCCGAGTTCGACGACCCCGCCGCCGCCGATGCCTACGAGCTCATCCTCAACACCTCCAAGGCCATCCGCTCTATTCTATCCCAGTACGACGTCAAGACCCAGGGCGACATCATCATCCAGACCTACAACACCACCAGCGAAAAGACCGTCTCCGAACAGATGACCACCATCAAATCTCTGGGTGGTAAGACTCTCGGCGAGCTGTCCCATCTCGGTCCGGATAACAAGAACCCTCCCTCTGGCTGCGTTGTGGCTGCCGTCGGTTCTGATGCTGCTGTCTACCTCCGCGTTTCCAAGGAAGTTGCCCTGGAGCAGGAGGAGAAGGCTAAGGCTAGCCTTGAGAAGGCCCGTGAGACTGTTCGTAGGTCCCAGGGTATCATGAACGGCCCTGGCTGGAAGGAGAAGGTCAAGGTTGAGGTCCGTGAGCAAGAGGAGAAGCGTCTTCGTGATGCTGAGGGAGAGGCTGCCCGTCTCGAGGAGCAGGTTAAGGAGTTTGAGAAGCTGCGCTTGGAGTAAACTGTCCATGGATAGATTCAAACAAAATATATCAATTGATTCCCTTCTTTTTAAGTTGCTTGACTGTAAACTCATTCCTAGATGGTATATTTCATCTATATTCATGTAGCGGTATCTACTATTAGAGACATAGCAAAGTTGATATACATAATTGGGATAGACAATACCAGATAACATATGATCTTCCTTTTTCTAAGAGGAAGGTCCCATAATCCGTTTGAACAAGAAAAAAAAGAAATACAATTGACCAACTTTCCACCGATACTGTAAAAACCAACAAAAGGAAGTACCTTTGCTAACATTTATATATGTAAAAGTACAAAAAATAGTTTCCCTGGGAATCGAACCCAGAACCTTTCCGGAACATCTGCTAATCGCATTTGTTAACGGAAAATCATAACCGCTAGACCAGGAAACTGTTCGACCACTTGGGCCAATTGATGAATGGACAGGCAGATAGTGACATGATGAGTCTGACATGATTTCTCATAAGTCTTCTCCTGGATATTACTTCTGTTCAATATGGCTCTCGGGCCACGTCCAGGGCTGTGCCCCTCACTTTTCCCATTTTATGCATAGTTGCCATATGCTAATGGATTAAAAGCCCAAAATTAATATAAAGATTTGAAATTTGATATACCCGGGTGATTGGAGTTCGGAATGTTGGGAAGATTGGGCAACAAGATGCGTTGGACTAATCAAACAATCCATCAAGGCAGGCAATTGAAATATACATGCATGAACTGATCAAGATAAAAAAGATCGGGATTCTCAGGCCCCAATATCTCGCACACTGCAAGGCTGACGTGCATATAACTCGCGTGGTGGTGTTGGGATGTATAGGCGCACGACGAATAACTTCATCAATCCTTCACCGACTCACTCATCTACCCTTGTTCTTCTTCACACCATCGCAATTTCAAACTGAAAATTTTCATTCCTGTACCGCCTCTTTGCGGCGAATGGGCAGCAAGCCATTGTGCTGGCGAAGTTGATACCACGGGGTGAAGTTGTCTATAAATACCAGGCCCATTCTCAGCCAGGACTGTTCCCATAGATCAACGAGCTGCCCTTGTTAGTCCACTGAACTTCATCTTGTTTGATACTCTTCATAAATTCCACCGTGATGACCCGCAACACAACATCCATGGCCCTGCAAAACGAGTCAGTGGCACATTTATTCGTGCAACAATATATCACCCAAGACATTGCCTCTTATCGCAAAACCCTCCACGCAGTCGAGGAAATATGCAAGCAGGTCCTTTCCAACCATGGAATATCCCATGCCACAGAGTCCCGACTCAAGGAACCCGCCAGTCTTGAAAATAAAATTGCAAAGTTTGAACGCGAGCGAGGGTCTATTTACCAAACCATCGAAGATATCAACAAGGACATCATTGATCTTGCTGGATTGTGCATCTTGGTACACATCCCTTCGACTCGAAAAAAAGCCAGCGAGCTTTTGCACGAGGCCTTCGTGGTCAAAAAGATGTTTGATCACCCGAAACAAGGCAAAATCGAGGGAACATACCATAAGCCTGGAGGCTATGTTGCGACGCATCTCCATGTCTCACTAAAAACGGAAGACCTTCATGACCCAGGGCTGCAACCCTCCGACACGAACCGGGTCGAAATCCAAGTCTCAGCCATACAGCAGCGTGGATGGGCAACCCTAGAGCATGACATTGTGTACAAGCCCAAGGAAAAACCCAAGCTTGGCCAACTCCACAAACTGGAAATGATGCGGAGGATAGTGGACGTGAACGAAAGTATCCACCAGCAAATAGAAGAAGAGCAAGCCTACCAAGCAGCGAAGGAGAACCGATCTCTTCGATCTGTCGATGATGTGGGCTGTGTGCTTCAAAAGTGGCTCGAGGAACACCACTCAGCGTGGTTTCAGGATCGGACGGCCGGGTCATGCACGTCGCTGTTTAGTTTCCTGAAATTACGCAATATGAATACTCGCGGGGAGTTGCGACAGATCCTCGAAGCGAGCTTTGGATCTGACTCAGAAATTCTGTACTCAAGACTTGCGAGTGAATACCCAGCTGATAGCTTGACTCTTGTGATTTTCATCATGGATCGTCTATTATTGACGGATGGTGGAAATGACGTTGATTTGGTCACTGCTGATCACCATCAGATTCATGTTTACAAACTCCAGGCAATGATGAGTACTTTTGTTTGGCTGGAGAGATTTTTCACCCCTGATCTTCTGTGGCAACGAGTCTTTGCAGCTCAGAATCAGAAATCTCTCCGAGACAGTCTGGTCTGGCTTAATAGCGCTCGATTGAAATTATTCTTTGATGGTGATCTGCTTGAGAAGCATGATATCGTTATTCTTGATTACCTTTGGGATTGGTTTGAGCGTCAAAAGGACCGTAAGATCAGATTGGCATTTGCCATTTCCAGAAATGGGATGTTCAAAGATAGAAAGGAAGCACGGAAGGTAATTCAGCAGTTGATTCAGGGGCTGATGAATTGACTGTGGAAATTTGGGAATAAAAGTTTTGCTTTTTTTTTGTTTTGAGTGTTAATAGTTTCAAGTCATTGCATGTAAAAGTTGATATAAGATATTTTACGTACTTTAGTTAACTTCTTTGGGATTCGTACAGTACTTTTAAACTAGAATTGGTCTAGCAAGCCAAGTGGAAATTAGAACCTTCAAGCGCATCGAGTTTGATTGGACTGGAGAGAAAACGATATATCACATTTCATCACGCTTCAGGGTTATATTTCCCAGCTCTTGAGTCATCCCAAACAACCAATCATCTGAAGGCGTTTTCTGGTCTAGTGGGAAAGTGATCCCCGGGAAAAGGGGCCAAAAATGAAGTAAAAAGATACGAAATGATGACAGACTCTACCTTTTTTAATATTTGAGTATGGAAGAAACAGATGGTGTTCGTATATTCTCATCAACCACTAGCGAAGTAAGCCTATATCGAAAAATATGTGGTAGGCATATAGATTCTGGATATTTAGGGACAATGAGGCTGGCAGGCTTGTCGAGGGCTATACGGACCAGCCCCCATTTCTTTCAGGATATCAAGTGCTCCACAATAGCCGTCAGAGAGAGGAACAGGCGCAAATCTTTATCTTTAGATTAAAATTTAAGCCTGGAGCTCACAAATGAGGTTAGGAGATTTTCCAATCCCACAACCCCGGACTTCTTTTTCAAGACAAAGGATTTGAATTCTGCACAAACCCACTGTTAAGACCAGTGATAGGAACAATGTCTTTTTCTAAGACAATGAAAGGTACCAGCTCTTCACAGGCACTCAAAATCTAATATCCTGCTGACTTGAGCGTTTGAAAGGAAGCGGTACCACAGCCGAGGAATGGTTCAAAATCCACGGTGTTCTTGGAGGAGATAAACTAGATCAATTCGTTTCCCCCTTGCAAATGAAAATCTGGATACAAATGAGTATTTTTGCAGAAAAGGAAGGATTCCACGGCTTTCAAAATACCACTCGTGTTTTGCAGTGCTGGCTGCATTATGGAGCGAGTCTCAATGGGTGGGACAATGGCCAGGACGATGTCCTTTGGGAACGATTTGCAATAGCAATGCCACCGGGAAACGAAAGTACCAGTGAGTTTGTCAGGCCCAGTGAGATATGGAAGGATGACCAGCCAGGTTGTCTATGTGGAAAGCTATGGCTGCACGTGAAAGGACACTAACAGCTGCTAGACTATTCCACGAATTCATCCCGGATGTCGCCGGTTGTCGTCGGAGAGAGCCCCTCGCCCTTGGGTGCTAACGAACAAGCTTAATCTCAACTCGTTGGTGTGACTGCAACTTTAGCCCGGAAGTCGTCGACCTTGGAGAGACCGACAGTTTCCCAAGAGATATGTCTCAACAGGTCAAAATAATTAGGGCTGTGAGATAGATGTGCGCCTTGGCGATTTGGAGTACTGCCATGTTCTAGCATGTGTGGTGTGTCGAAGTTGAATAGAAGATTGGAAGGGTCAAAAACGGGAAGTCAGATGAAATTAGGACAGGGAAATACCTGGTAATATGCATATGCATTGGCCCTAAAGCGCGGCCTTCGCCAAATAATTAATATATGTCTCAATTTATGTATTGGAATAGATATTCTTGGATTATTTTGTTTAGTATTTTGCATTTGGAATAAAAAGCATCCTGAACCTATTATATGCTCCGCATTCGTTCTCTTCAACTGGTGTACGAGAAGAATCTTAATATCGGTGCCAAATTTCTTTGAACATTCTAACCTAATATAAGGCCAATAGAATAGGGCAATGAATTTCTTTCTTGACGTGGAGGAGCAGGTCAAAATGGACTAGATTGACGACGTCTCTGGTATCGACCCCTCAGATAGATAGCCTATGACCTATTTCAATCAAGACTCCTATAGATCGCGGCATCCGCTTTACTGAAGTAATCACGTCAAATTCTTATTACTCTATCAATGTAACTTTGATTACTATAAAAGATAGCTGCATTTGGTAAATTGACACGCTATTGTTATAGTCGGGCATTTCGACATAAAAATAACATTCCCGTTCACGAACGAACGCCCACCGAGTATCCAAAAAGGGAACTGCCTTTATACCTACATGTATAATAGAATCGAGGTTAAAAAATTTTAATAATTTTGATATTTGAAGATCGACTCTGTCGAGCATTGTCCAGTCAAGGAATAGATGTACCAAGTCTCATAGGAAGCAACTTAGTTTCTACACTTAGTCTCCACAACTCTCGCCATGTACCTTGATGTCAACGTAGTCCTGTCTTGACAAGATGAATTATTCTAGTGTAGTAATAGATACACGGCCAAGCAGCTCAGGATAGACTACTATGCGCCCATTTTCTTAGCGTCCATAAGTAGTGTGACGACAGCTTCGTATCCATGTTTAGCAGCCCATGAAAGCGGAGTACGGCCTTCGGAGTCTTCAGACTCTATATCTACCTTCCCAGTATTCAGAAGCAGCCTTACCACGGCATCCTGTCCATATCCAGCAGCCCATGAAAGCGGAGTACGGCCTTCAGAGTCTCTAGACTCTATATCCACCTTACCAGTGTTCAAAAGTAGCTTGACCACGGCATCGTACCCAGCAGCCCATGAAAGCGGAGTACGGCCTTCAGAGTCTCTAGACTCTATATCCACCTTCCTAGTGTTCAGAAGCAGCGTGACCACGGCATCGTGTCCACATCCAGCAGCCCATGAAAGCGGAGTCTGACCTTTAGAGTCTTCAGACTCGATATCTACCTTCCCAGTGTTCAGAAGTAGCCTAACCACGGCATCGTGTCCACTTCGAGCAGCCCATGAAAGCGGAGTCTGGCCGTACTCAGAGTCTTCAGACTCGATATCCACCTTCCCAGTATTCAGAAGTAGCCTGACCACGGCATCGTGTCCTTCCCTAGCAGCCCATAAAAGTGGAGTACGGCCAAATCTAGGGTCTTGAGACTCGAGGTCCACCTTTCCAGTGTTCAGAAGTAGCCTGACCACGACATCGTATCCATATTCAGCAGCCCATGAAAGCGGAGTCCGGCCATACTTAGAGTCTTTACACTCTATATCTACCTTCCCAGTATTCAGAAGTAGGCTGACCACGGCATCGTGTCCCTCCCTAGCAGCCCATAAAAGCGCAGTCTGGCCTCGAGAGTCTTTAGACTCTAAATTTACCTTCACAGTGTTCAGAAGTAGGCTGACCACGGTATTGTATCCATATTGAGCAGCCCATGAAAGCGGAGTACGACTGTACTTAGAGTCTTCGGAATCTAAGTTCACCTTTCCAGTCTTCAAAAGTAGCCTAACCACGGCATCATGTCCATATTCAGCAGCCAATGAAAGTGGAGTCCGGCCCCGAGAGTCTTTAGACTCTAAATTCACTTTCCCAGTGTCCAGAAGCAGACCGACAATGGAATCGTGTCCTCTTGCAGCAGCCCATGTAAGTGCAGTGTTGTCGTGTACAGAGTCTCGGATGTCCACTTCCACAGTGTCCTCCTCTAAGAGCTTCTGTACGACAGCATACAGCCCACGGGAAGCTGAAATAACAAGTGGTTCTGAAATGACAGGTGGTGTCTGATAAAGGAACTCTAGTTCATGTTCCTTGTGCTGGTACGACATCACCCAGATTTTATAGAATTTTGATGTTGGGGTACAGAGATGATACGCCAACATTGTCATCCTATCCTGGAAACGAAAACAGGCTGCGCGGAAGTGGTGTGCCCAACAAACTATGGAGTAGTGCAAAAGCACATATAGACTGGAAAGTTTTGAAGCAGCATCAAGAAACTGAGTTCTAGCATAATTGAATTCTTTTGGAGGAGAATCAAGAAACCGTATTAAAGCAGCATCAAGATCCCATTTTGAAAGAGTATCAAGGTACCATACGCATATCTCTGCGAGGAATTTGTTCGACTCTGCCGCTGGAAAGGCGCGCGCCCAGTTGCTAGATATGACTGATTCATCTGCATCTGATGATTTCCGGACCAGAAATTCCTTGACAGTTTGATGAAGAAGGTAGACCCTATTATCAACGACGACAAGGATTAACCCGCAAATATTTCGTAACGTGGATTTGAAACGTTTAGCGGGCTCTGTTGATTCCAGTATGTCATCATGAGGTTGGCCCTCTCTTTGTATGGCCATGGCTAGAGACAGTTCTTCCACTGATAGGGGTTTTTCTGCGGCTAGGACAATGTGGAGTAGACGCTTGGCTTTGGATTGGTCTTTGCTTTTGCTTAATATCTTGTCATAGGCGTCATCGACGGTGTCAGGAATACTGTGCACTGTTTCGCGAATCTTTCCTTTGGTGAAGCCATCGAGAGCCTGGATGTAATCCAACGTAAGAGCAGCCCAGAGATAGGTTCGATGCGGCATCTCTGTGAGTTTCTCTCGCAAGAAATCTTGTTCGTGCTTCTCTAGTTGTTTTCGAATGGAAATATTGTGAACTCTTTTCGCAATCACCAGGTCGATCTCACGTGAGATTTCCTTCACTTCAGCTTCACCCTCTCCACTTAAGTGAATTGTAGGCATTTGGTCCTCCAGCACTCGAAATTCCTCGCGTATTCTCTGGTAAGGTCTACTTGTTAGAAGGAACTTCAAATTGTGGTTATTGTTCCCTCTCGCGTAGAGGTCCGTTATTGCTTCAACAAGCTGCTTTCGCTCATCTTCCTGACATTCGTCCAGTGCATCCACCACACATATGATCTGATCAAAGTCGCTGCTGGTCGTGATACTCTTCAAAATATCCCACAGTGTGCGAAATGATTTAGCTATGGCTTCACCTTCTTTATCATACTGTGCTAGCACAGAATCTGATAGGAGAGATGGTTCAGCTAGGTAAAGTTGACGTAGCATACTAGCAATGGCAATTGTAGATCTTCTTTGATCTGGATAATCATCACGAAAGAAAAAGTAACAGATCTTTCTTTTTCCGGTACTTGGAAGTACTTCGTCAACCAAATATTTCGCTAAAACTGACTTTCCACATCCCGGATCTGCTGAAACCCATAGGAGGCTTGAATTGGTATTGTGGTTCCAGTTCTGAAAATGAGGGTGATTGGTAAACCATTCACACGTTCCGGGTATACGGTTGTCAACCCGGTCCTTTCGGTCCCTGTATGGACAGGTATAGAGGATCTTGATGAATTGGTTCACTTTCAAATCTCGATCTGTTGATGTTTGCTGCAGCCGATGCTTTGCGAGCGCCTTTGCAAAGTTCTGTGAGATCATCTCTCTGTCTCGCTTCCTCTCTGCTGCGTCAAAAAGCCTAGTGAAGTTTTGGGCTTCAGTCTCTTGGCTTGTAATGCTCTCTATCAGTACATCCCATTTCTCGTTGAACATATTCTTGGCCATTCGCGATAATGAATTCTTCTGCAAGAAACACAGCGCTCGAGCTTGAAACTCGAGGACTTTGCAGTACAATAATACCAGACCGTCTTTGAATTTCTCCGTAAAATCATCATGGACATCCGCGTCAGAATGGAGGTAGAGATCTTCCATCATACGAAGACGAGGAATCAATTCCGAAGTTTTCTCCAGTCCATTCAGAAGGCTGTCCTCCTGGTCCGCTGCACGTATAAATAACTGAAGGTGGGTCAGATAGCGACTTTTGAATAGGATATATAGTAGGATTGGATGCTCACTAGGAGAGAGACGGTAATGCCGGCACAAGCAATCGCGACTGGAGGACTTGCAGCTGAAGCCATGTTGACTGCATCTTTCAACACCACTACATTTTGAATTGCTCGTACAAGCTTTTCTCTGACTTTAATGTAATGGTCGTCAATCTGGATGACCAACTCCTGCTGTTTCAGCTCTTCAACCTTGGCGTTAAGAGAGCCCTGGAGCTGTTGGTCGACTGTTCCATGAGACCCAAGTTCCAGACCGGAGTCTGCAACAATTTGCCTAGCTTCTTTTAATATTAGGGCCATCTTTTTATCCTGAGCGAGCCTTTGCGTAGCCTTTGTCCACAAGTCCTCAGTCTGGGTAGCTGTGGTGATTTCTTCTGAATTATCTTCTGGCTCAACCGACGCATTGGTACCGCTCGGTTGAGGAACATTGCTTGTGTCGTTTGGAGTAACATTGTTTGTATTCTTTGGAGGAACATCGCTTGCATCCTTTGGTTTTTTTAAATTCTTTCGAACCCACTTCAAAGGTCTATGGTTCTTGAGGTTCGAAAAAGGCATTCTTATGTTGGTATGTGTTGATATATGTTGGTAGAGGTTTCTCTTTCTGAGGGTTAAAGAATCGGGACATTCCCATTCTTGTATTCAGGGAGAAAAAATAGTCAACGTGGCCCTCGACGCTAATTATGCAGAAATAAATTAGCGTGATGATACATACTTCCTGTTCCCCCGCTGAATTCCTGGCCCCTATTTTGTAGATAAAGCGGGGGTCTAAAATAAGAAATGAAAGGCACATGTTGAAATGTTTCAAGTTTGTTACTTAAGAAACTATTCCAAACTAAGCATAAAGGGGTTATATAGAGTAGTATATACATTGTCCCCTCGATTGCCCTTTGAGGAAATCCCGAGGCCGCTAGATAGGTACATAATTTCCAAATAATTCATAGTTGAACGAGCCAATGCATCGTTCAATAAATTCATATCACATAGCTCATGCCATCTCAATCTGCTCATCTTCGGCATCCTTATTCTTAATGTATGTCACCTCATCAGTGGGGATAACATAAGTCGCCCACTGACGAACAGGAACCTTGTCCTGGAAGAGTCTCTCAATGTCCGCATTACTGCGACCCGCGGTCTCGCCGACACAGAACCATGAAAATGCCAGCAAGAGGAGAGTGGTTCCTCCATAGACGAATCCAATCTTAGGACCAAGGTTGCCGTCGTAGTACATGTAGGGACTGGTGAAGACCATGAGCCAGACAGTGAGGAAGAAGACGGCCATAGCGCACGAGGTGATCTTGTTTCTGTTGCGGCCGACAGACATTTCCGAGGCAATGGAGTAAGAGAGGGTACCGATGGAGAAGTTGTAGAAGATGATGTTGAGGTAGGCGAGGACGACGATACCGATGCCGATGCCACGGCTGAAAGAGCCATCTGGGGCGCGGGTGGTACCGAGACCGCCGACGGCGATGAGGGAGACGAAGATACCCATCGAGCAGACGAGGAGGTTAGTGCGACGCTTGATCTTATTTCCGAAGACGACGGAGACACCGACGGTAACGATTTGTAGGACGTAGATGATGGTGTTGATGGTGAAGGGGTCTGCGACGCCAATAGACTGGGCGAAGACAACACCGTAGGTATACCAGAACTGGATACCGTTGATCTGTTGGACGAACATGACACCGCAGGCGTAGAAGAGCTTACGGCGCTCTACGGGGTCTGTGAAGAGGGAGGCCCATGAAGCGTCCTTAGACATCTCACGATCAATCTGAACGGCATCGTCGATAGCCTGAATATCCATCGAGGGGTCGTAGTCGCGAGCGCTGCGGTTGATTTTGCGGAGAGCCTTGATGGCCTTGTCACGCTTGTCCTTGTACATATACCACACTGGGCTTTCGGGTGTGAAAGGAAGGCAGAGAAGCATGATACCGGGAAGAACAACCAGGAGACACATGGGGATACGGTAGGATTCGGCGCTGTTGATCTTCTCTGTGCCTTGGTTGACACAGGCTCCAACCAGTTGCGAGATCGACTGCATGAACTGGAAGGACATAAGGGCTGGACCTCTGATAGCAGAAGGTGCCACCTCTCCAATGTACATCAGACAGGTAGCAGTGAACTGTCCGATACCCAGGCCAATCAATACACGACTGACATAGAAGACTGGGTCAGAGCCAAAGGAGCAGGCTTGCACGACGGCTCCGATGATGATAAAGAGAGAAGCCGACAGGAAGACAGAACGGCGGCCGAAGAAGTCATTGATAGGAGCAGCTGCAATGGCACCAGCCAGCTCTCCCACGTAGATGATACTAGCAGATAGCGACAGGAACGTTGTTCCAAGTTCCCAGGTGCCATCTGGGTTTTGCTCGCCATAGTCCATAGCAAACCATTTCATGCCCTGAATACCAGTATAGTAAATCGTATCGTAACCGTAGCAGAGGGCACCGATGGCAGCAACCAAACAGTAGGCAATAGCCCATCGATTCGACTTCCAGTCGACATTGAGTTCGAGGCCTGCCATGATGGGCAAAACCAAAAGTAGTTTGAGTAGTGAAGACCAAATAGCCTAGAAATGTGTTTCAAGAAACTCGATCAGCACCCAGGAGAAGTTTATAGAAAAATTTCCATCGGGGCCAAGAAGCGGGCACAAGTTGGGGTAAGATCTCCACGGGGTAAAGGTGCCCTGGTTCTGGCATTCAAAGTTTCCATTTCATATGTTCAGACCCCATCGCCCCATTCTTTGCGTCTCATCTCCTCGTGCCAAGATATTATTTGCCCAGGATGTGGATCTTTTCCACACACTCGTCTGTTATAGGGGGATTTGCTAGCGAGGTTTCCCCGATTTGTCCATTCATCTTTAGGGTTTTAAGTAAAGTTGTAAATAGATATCATTCCGGTATGCCGATGTTTAGGAACATGCCGATATACAGGAGGTACACAAAGGGAAAAGAGCAAAAATTGTAGTGAATTGTCCAATGCGAAATTGAAAGAGTTAAATATGTCGAGACCTATGGGTGGAGCATATAATTGAGGGTATTTTCAAGCGAGGATATGAAATTGCGTTTGCATTTTATATTACAAGAGTCGACATAAGTGGCTTGTGTCATTTTAGTTGTTTAGTAGTAGTATCAGCTACCATTGTCAGTTTTATACGGCAAAAAAAGGAAAGAGGGCTGTGACATGGCCTTTATTCTGCGAGATAGAGAGATATCAAGTACAACATATGTTGTACAACATACAAGTTCCATCTTGAATATCGGTCTTCTATCGGAATTACCTCGGTCAAATTTCTCTCTCCCGAGAAAACTGGGGTAGTCGGGGTTTTCCGGGGTCATCGGGATCCCCATATTTCGCTATTTTTTTTTTCTCTCTCTCTATTCCGTATCACCTTTTGCAAATGGCAAGTTTTAAGGGGTTCTAGATTCAAATAGTAAAAGAGAACCTTGAAAAGCAGATGAGATCATTTTTAGCTTTAGGCACTGCCTTCTAAAGTCAAAATGTGCCCCCGAGCCGTGAGATGATCCCGACCTCCCTACCGGTCCCGATATGAGTCCCGACACTAGACCCGATACTATAACTAATCCCGATTCATCCTTCGGTGAACTTTCATTATACGGCATCTATGACTTGGTGGCGTACTTGGCTTAAATTTTACCTAAGAAGTTAAGTTTACGAGTGCCCACCTGGGCAGGTGGTAATTTCGCGGGGCAAACCTTGGCCATAAACGGCACTTTGGTCTGCCAGGTACCGATGGTCAAGTAAATGGACTACATCTTCTATTACTTCCATATCCGTGATTTTGTATAGAATTGTCTCTTTGGTTATTCAAAGACATATCTTCAGGCCATTCCTCTAAGTTAGCTCTCAAATCCCCCAAAATATCTTTCGCTTGTAACTTCCCAATGTACCCCGAAAGTATGCAGGGTACCCTTGTAGACATTTACATTCCCCTCTTTTAGCTTTCTAGCATACGCAATCCCCTCACCTCGTACGGGGTAGCGGATCTTGTGCTGACACGAAGATCATATGTTGTGGAAGACTTTCCACATCCCCGAGCAACGGAGACACTTTCCTGTTCACCCCAAGCCGGGATCGGGATAAAACAAGTTCCAAACAGCGAGCAACCCACTTGAGCCCATAAAAATATCCATGCACTGGGTACGGAGTATAGGAGCAAAAAAGTACTCTTCGGAGGGGCCGTGCTCGGCCGGGCAATGACCAGCGTCGCAGAGCATAGGAGCAGGATGGCCCCATTGGTAGGAACGCCTTTGTCACGACAAAGATGAATAATAGCAGTGCTGATTCCTGCTCCAGAGGAGGAACCGGCTAGGATGAGTTGGGTGAGATTGGCCTTGATGTGTTTAAAATAAGAAGTTTCTCTGCAGAATCAAGTAGGGCATCTAGTACCTCCTAGGAATCTTCGACCCAGATCGGGAAGCGGTTCTCTGGAGCCGGTCGGGATTTCACACTGCCAATCACGAAGTCAAGAGGCTCTTATGATGATTATAAGAGCCAGAGTTCCTCCGAGGTGCCTCGAGTCCAGCCCCCACCGTGCGTGATCAAGAGAATCGGTAGCGAAATTTTATCTCTCCCTCTAGCGTGCAGACGGTCGAACAGTGGAAGTACACTTTCAACCTGATATCGGCACCACCGCTCGGACTGTGGTCGACTTTGTATAACCGACCGCTTCTAGGGGTGACTCTCGGCCGGTTTTGGTATCAGATGTCGCCTTGTATACTCGAATGGAAGTCCGAGTCGCTAGTGAAGTACTCTGAAGTGGACATGATGAATTGATTGGATACTTATGTTGGGAGAAAAGTCCCCTGCGGTCAAAATAAGATTGTTGAACCTCCCCCGTACTACAAGCAGTTATATATCACAGCCCTCGGGTAGGAATAGAATGGACTTCCGTCGGTCTCCGGGTTAAATCTCCACATGGTATGTAAGGCTTGTTCCTTTTTAGCTATTACAGATCATTGTTTGCTTGTTTTGGTATAATTTACATCCACCCCTCACTTTTCTTCTCTATTTCTCTACTCACCCTTCTCACCTCTAGTTGCATGACCCTGACCCTGCCTTTTGCACAATTCAATTCTTTTCCTATATCATTTTCTCCCATGTAAAAACTGATACATACGACCATAGGGTGTGGAAAACAGGGCTTCCCGTCCGCTCAGCCGTACTTAAGCCACACGCCGGTGAGTTAGTAGTTGGGTGGGTGACCACCAGCGAATCCTCACTGTTGTATGTTTTTGTTTTTTATCTTTGATTGTTCAGGAATCCCTAGTAGACACCATGTCGGTCAAGCGGGAATAATGTAGCCGGCAAAGCAGAGCCGCACCTAAGAAACCGAAAATTTTTGATAGACCGGTCACTTGCGCATGTGCACTTATCAGTAATAGTGGCCATGTTAATTTCAGATTCTGTATATAAAATGGAAAATACTTAAAGATATAAATATTAGGTAGGTCATAAACCCGTTAGCTCCGCATACAACCAGAGAATGCAGCGAAGTGTGAGCTATCATCACTGTTTAAGATGTCAAACTTAGATATTATTATCTTCCAGTTCATGATCGAGATCAAGAGATGTAGTAATTTATACAGGTGAATAAACCGTTGAGCGTTCCTAGCGCGAAATGCAGAGCCTAACAAACTAGCTCCAACCCTACTAGCGCTAGTTATCGGCAACGTAGTCAATATATCTCAAGCTCAGCTATCCACATTAGCATCGGAATTCGATGTAATCACCGCACCTACGATTTCTAGTCGGTCAGAGTAAACCTGTGTCCCCAATATCTAAGGGTGAGGCACTCCATGCTTTGGCCCCAAGATAGGTGGAGATATTAAGAATGCTTGATACTACCTACTACCTTCTGAGGTTAGAGGCTTGGGGTCAAGAGTGGGGAGAGCAAGCACTACAAGCCAGCCTGGCCCCTGTAGCTAAGACGGGCTGTGGCAAGTGTTTGATGCCACACCATTCAGCACAGCCCACCATCTCTGTACAGCCTTATCTGCTTCTGCAGATCTCAAGTAAGCCTCGTCCTTCTTTTGTTATTCAGTCAAAGTTTCTACTTCCCACATTCTCTATCTCAAACATACTTTCAATCTACCCCAAAAACACCTACTTTATTTGATTACTTGCACACCCTCACTATGAGAAAAGAGAACTTCATCCGACAAATCGAAAACTCCGTTGAGTTCAAATTACTCGACAAAGTAGTCAAGGAAGAAGTTACAGTACAAGATGCAGTCCAAGAAATCATCAACATGACCATGAGTGCATTGTCCATTCATGGTCCTAATAAACAAGGCGGGGTCGGTCTCCCAGACTACAACGTCTCTCTTGCGGTAATGGAGCTCACTCAATGCCTGGAACCATCCAAACACACCAAGCTTGTGGAATTTATATTACATCTCCAGAAAGAAGTTGCCGTTAATCCATCTACGAACGAGCCCCTGAGAGTGCAGGGCGATACCCTCTGGACAGACATGCCTTCATTCGGCTATACAGAGCTTGAGACGTGGTATGAGTTTGGTGGCGATTATAATGGTGATCTATCCACCAATTTAAATAGTTACAATGCTAACACGTGCAGACCCATGTGATGCAACGCTAGATTCTAAGCAACGAGGTCGCTGGGTGAATCTCAACGCTTTCCTCGCACAGCTTACCCAAGCTGCAGACATTCACTATTCACCCGCTGATAGAGAAGTGCGATTCTCCCCTCTGGACAAATCACTACGGGGTATCTGGATCATGGCGATGGCACTTGAGAATGAGTGCCTTCCTGCATCGATGGGAGATACGGCGGCAATGGAGGCCGCTTGCCAGTGGTTCATATACGCTGCCGAACGGCTGTGGGCCAATGTGCTCAATAGTCGTACTTACCCTAAGGTGTCTGGCGCTGGGTCAGGGAAGAGGTATAAAGAGGAGGGCTGGACGGGCTATACGCGGGAGAGATGGAGAATTTGGGAGAATGCGCTGGAGGAGGCTAGGTCTAAGTGCCAAGATGAGCGGATGTGGAAGCTGATTAATGATGCTTTGATCAGTCTGAGAAGAGGAATGGTAAATCAATAGTGGATGGACCCGTCTAGCTCTAGTGGACATTCGTTCGAATGCTCTGGGTGGTTAGTTATGTACGATAATGACGTCGATTCTTTTCAATATGGCGGGCTTGGCACATTCATATAGTCTTTGAAAGATAAGTAGTGATATCATATGATTAATAACTACATGTATGTAATATTTAAGTAGCCTGGAATTGTATTTGCTTTGATAATGATTATGAATCCCCTTACCCCTCTTGAGAAGGTTGGCTCGGCGAGGACAAAGCATGGCCCTGGGGCCACCTGTAGGTGGACACCACAGAAGCCGATTCGTATGGACTATATCATCAGATTCAATGCAGCCCAGAGTATGTGAGAACTACATACTCTGATTGCATGGCAACATTAAAGAATCTTGCGTTATCCTTTCAAGTTCTTTCCCTTCACATCTGCCATACTGCTTAAATCACACAAAGCGTATGTTTTACTCACCAGAGCCCAATCCGCTACTCTTGTATACTAACAATGCACCCCGCAGAAAGTCAACTTTACGGAGATGTCCAGTACCAATAATATTGTCGGGAGGGATCATTAAACTTTACCAAGCATCCGAAGTATTGCCGGCTGGTGGAAAGATGTTAAAAGAGAATGCCAATTCGTCAAGATCAGGACACTAATTTCCCCAGAAACAGAAAAGTGTGGGGTCTCCACCCCCACGAACTTAAAATGTCGGCAAAACTCCGGTTACGGACAATTTTCACATTTACCGGCAGAACTCTGGACTCATCCCTCTGGAAATGTTTATGTTCCGGTACCGAGTCCAGGTTCTGGGTTGCGGGTGGCGGGCTATAAGAAGGAGTGGCCCGCATGCTCCCGACAGACCTCCAGAGACCTTCCAGCTTCTCATTTCGAACATAGCTAAGGAAAATGGCTCGCGTCACTCAGTTTGTGGTTTCAGGCCTTTTGGCCGCCACACTGGCCAATGGTCAATCATTTGATGGAACCAGTCGAAGCGAAGATGCCTTCAGCTATATACAACCTAAGGACACAACCATTCTGGGCCCTTATGGACACTCCCCTGCTGTCCTTCCCTCACGTACGTTCTCACTTCAACCTTAATGAACTCAAGTGGTCTGTCGCTAATTCAACGATAGCAAATGCTACCGGATCAGGCGATTGGCAGAAAGCCTACGCTAAGGCCCAACAGTTTGTAGCTAAGCTGACTATCGATGAGAAGGCCGACATGGTTACTGGGCAGCCAGGTCCGTGTGTGGGAAATATTGTCGCTATCCCACGACTCGAATTCCCAGGCCTTTGCTTACAGGATGGCCCCCTGTCAATTCGGGTGGCCGATTATGCTAGCGTCTTCGCTGCCGGTGTCACAGTAGCATCCACGTGGGACAGATCTCTCCTCTATGAGCGAGGGTATGCTATGGGAAAAGAGTTCAAAGCTAAAGGTGCCCACATTGCACTTAGCCCGGTTGCTGGTCCACTCGGCCGCTCTGCCTATGCAGGCCGAAACTGGGAAGGCTTTGCTGCTGATCCTTACTTGACCGGTGTTGCTATGGAGGAGACTATCCGTGGCCATCAAGATGCTGGTGTGCAAGCTACTGCTAAGCACTTTATTGGCAACGAGCAGGAGACTCAGCGCAACCCTACCTATGACACCAATGGAACCGTCACGGATGTCATCCAAGAAGCACTTTCCTCCAATATTGATGACCGCACCATGCACGAGCTGTACCTTTGGCCCTTTGCAAATGCTGTTCGCGCCCAAGCTGCCAGCTTCATGTGCGCATATCAACGTCTAAATGGTTCTTATGCTTGTGAGAACTCCAAGGCACTCAATGGCCTGCTCAAGGAAGAGCTTGGCTTCCAGGGATATGTCATGTCCGACTGGGGTGGCACTCACTCCGGCGTTGCCTCTATTGAGGGCGGTCTCGACATGAATATGCCCGGTGGTCTTGGTCCCTACGGGACGATCCCTGAAGCCGGCTCCTTCTTCGGCAAGAACGTGACTTATGCAGTCAATAATGGAACTGTGGATGAATCTCGCGTCGATGATATGATCATCCGTATTATGACCCCTTACTATTGGCTCGGCCAGGATAAGGATTATCCTAAGATTGACCCTTCAAGTGCCGACCTGAATACCTTCTCACCCCGATCAACTTGGCTGCGCGAGTTCAACCTCACCGGGGAGCGAAGCCGTGATGTCCGCGGAAACCACGCGAAGCTGATCCGTAAGCTTGCAGCCGAGGCTACGGTCTTGCTAAAGAACGAGAAGCAGGTCCTTCCCTTGAAGGCTCCCAAGAACATCGCCATCTTTGGAAATGATGCCGGCGAGAACACTATGGGCGCTGTCAATCAGGCAACATTCGAATTCGGAAATCTCGCATCTGGTGGTGGCTCAGGTACCGGCCGATTTACCTATCTCGTCTCCCCACTCGAGGCCATCAAGACCCGCGCAAAGGAGGACAATGCCCTCGTCCAATACTTTTTGAACAACACCCAGATTGCGACTGAGAACGTCACCGACCTTTGGGTTCCTACTACTCCCGACGTGTGCCTTGTCTTCCTCAAGACCTGGGCTGAAGAAGGAGCGGACCGTGAGAGCCTGACAGTCGACTACAACGGCAACGAAGTCGTGGCATCCGTCGCCAAGTCATGCAACAACACAGTCGTGATCACTCATTCCTCTGGAATCAACATCCTCCCCTTCGCCAATCATCCCAATGTCACCGCCATTCTCGCCGCGCATTACCCCGGCCAGGAAGCCGGTAACTCCATCGTGGACGTCCTCTACGGCGACATCAATCCTTCCGGCCATCTTCCCTACACAATCGCCAAGAACACTAGCGATTACAATGCCCCGCCTACAACCGGTGTGTCTACCAACGGCCCCGACGACTGGCAATCTTGGTTCGACGAGAAGCTCGAGATCGACTACCGCTACTTCGACGCCCAGAACATCTCCGTGCAATACGAATTTGGCTTCGGTCTCTCATACACCACCTTCGGCCTTTCCGACCTTACTGCAGAGCCCGTGACTGATTCAATCTCCTCTATTCCCGAAGAGCAGCCCGTCCAGCCTGGCGGAAACCCCGCTCTCTGGGAGACTATCTACAACGTCACCGTCTCAGTTACCAACTCTGGTGATGTCGAGGGTGGGGCTGTTCCCCAGTTGTACGTTACCTTCCCGGATAGTACACCCCAGGGAACGCCGCCTAAGCAGCTACGCGGTTTCGAGAAGGTCTCTTTGGCTCCCGGCGAGTCTCGCACTGTTGGATTTGAGTTGATGCGCAGAGATTTGAGTTATTGGGATATTGTTTCCCAGAAGTGGGTTATCCCCGAGGGAGAATTTGTTCTTCGGGTTGGATTCAGTAGTCGGGATTTGAAGGAGGTCGCTAAGATTACTCCTGTTCGTGCTTAGAGTGTGACAAGGAAACGGGGCCCGTGACTGTAGTTGAATGACCCGAGGGATAATAATGAGTTTCTCCATAGCACGGGAGCACAGAGAATGTATATAACCCCTAGATTATTACTTCGTACAGAATACATATGGCCCCTTCCAAAGTTATCAACAACCAAGTTTGTCAATCTGGGCTTTAGATTCCACAGTTTGATTCCCATTAAAACTGCATTGAGTTAGATGTTACCTTTTTTACCATTATATTTTGCGTCGTAACCAACAGGGAAAGATATCCAACAAATGTAAGACATTATACTAATAATCTCGAACAACAATAGTCGGCCGTATCAGCGCTCTTGTGATATCTTTTCAGCAGTCTTTTCGTCGGTCTTTCCAGTGGTCTTTCTAGTGGTCTTTCTAGTGGTCTTTCTAGTGGTCTTTTTAGATATCATTCTGTCTTGTCAGTTTGAAAATCGACGGCAAATAAACAGGCGGGAAAAGGCTTTTTAGAACGGACTTTTCTAAGACCTTCGATATCACTCACACACAAGCCAAATGAACCAAATTGGCCGACTCTTTTGAAGTCGCAAAAGCAAAAGCAAAAGCAAAAACATACAACAGTGAGGATTCGCTGGTGGTCACCCACCCAACTACTAACTCACCGGCGTGTGGCTTAAGTACGGCTGAGCGGACGGGAAGCCCTGTTTTCCACACCCTATGGTCGTATGTGCTTAACACTACACTAGAGAGAATCATACAGTCAAAACGAGAGCGTCGCATGAAGTGGGGGTGGGAAGGGAGTGCCGTAGACCGGTGCGAACGGGAATCCTTTAGGCCACGCACCCTTCTTGACATGAAAGGCACTGAGCTCTGAACCTCTACTTCAGTCTTGAACTCCTACGTGAGGGCGGCCTCGGTGTCTCCGCCCCTGTCCGGGGTGTGTCATGCCATGCGAGCGCTAGACAGCTCCCGCTGTGGTGGGAGCTGGACCAGGTATCGGGGGGCCAGGGTCAGGGTCATAATGGGAGATCCTCGGCGGTAGCGTCGGTACGGGAGTTCGAGGTCTCTCTCTGTCCAGGACGCTGGAGGCGCTATCTGACTCCCAATGTTGGTCGAGAGAGGAGGATTGGGGGTCCCCTATCTGCTGAAGCAGGTTCGGGAAGGCGACTAGTGTGGTTAGCAAAATTCTGCCACGATAGCAGAAAGCCAGCCTTAGAATCAGCAAATTGGAGACTTACTTTGTTATCACTTCGTAGCGGCTGATGAGAAGGGAAGGTGAGAGATAGCGCAGCTGAAACTCTAGAAAAGGACAAGTGATATTGCTAGAAGGTGAAAGAAAGCGAAGACGATTGCGGATAACAATAATAAGAGATGTTTGAGTGAAAGCTTGAGAAAGGAATTTCCAGTCAGATTTGAAATGACATAAACGAAAACCAGACACAAATAATTTTCTTTTCCTGTAGGGAATATTACCAGTCGTCGGCGTAATGCGTCGATATGACCTAGCCAAAACGGCGCGTCAATCATCCGAGCCAACTCTTACTAAACACCTACGGTGCAGGTTATCCTAATCCAGCGGGTTAGGGAAATTGATAAAGGGTAGGTAAATAGTGGTAGATCTAAGGTTGCGGGGAAATATTTTGAGCCGCCTTCGGAACCTAAAGCCATGTGGGCCAAGGGATCTTAATGGCCGAATCGGGAGAACTCAATTCCCGTATATACTTATTAAACATGTTAATTTCATTCACTTTTACTGCTCTATTTTTCTCTAACTTTCCTTGTCTTCCAATTCTCTCATCAAGCTCCCAATATGGCACGCAGACCTGCTCGATGCTACCGGTATCGCAAGAACAAGGTTAGTGGTCACTCCAGTGTTACAACCTGGCCCTAGACTAGCGAGTTACACACTAGGCCAAAAAGACCAATATATCTGAGCATAATGCTCAGATATATTCCAGGCTCCGATATATATAGTGCAGGACATGACATCCAGCCCCTTTACGCAACGATGAATCCCATCTAAGATGGTCTTTTTTTAGCCTTCCCTAACTCACGCTTCAACCGTGGTGTCCCAGATGGTAATATCTATATCTTTGATCTGGGACGGAAGAAGGCTTCTGTGGACGGCTTCCCGTGCACCGTGCACTTGGTATCTAATGAATACGAACAACTGAGCTCAGAAGCCCTGGAAGCTGCACGTATCTGTGCGAACAAGTAAGTTAATCTGAGCTTATACAATTTCATCTTTATAAGATAGCCAAGCTCCGTTCTTCTTGAAGATATCTCGTCAAAGTTGCAGGCAAAGAGACATTCCACATGCGCATCCGAGTTCACCCTTACCATGTAATCCGAATCAACAAGATGTTGAGTGTCGCCGGTGCAGATTGTTTACAAGCCGGGATGCGAGGCGCATTTGGCAAATCAGCTGGTAAGGTGGCTCGAGTAAACGTGGGCCAGATTCTGCTTTCCGTGCGAACTGTTGATCGACATAGCCCGACAGCAGTGAAGGCACTACATCGCTCGATGTACAAGTTCCTTGGTCGGCAAAAGGTCATTGTTAGCAAAATATGGGGATTCACTCATTTGCTGCGCGTTGAGTATTTGCAGTCAAAGGAAGAAGGCCTATTGCGGAATTATGGTGCATATGTCCAGTTCTGTCGGTGGAAGGGAGATGTGACAGAGAATATGCAAAACTTCCCACAGATCCTCTTCGAATACATAAAATTCCCTCTAAATCCAGTCTTTGCGTGGTGCACAACAATTTTTCATAGGAGAGGAAAGTGTGACCCGATATTTGGGGGATAGCGTTTCATCAATATTGACATGAGTCACGTTCTCTTCCAGTGTTCGTAGGTTTCGGTTAAGGCGCTGATGGGTGAGGCTCCAATCGGGTGTATTGTACTTCTTTAGATTCCTAAAATATGCGGGGCTTGGTAATTATTTTAGACCCAGCCATATCAATGTTGGATCCTATCCAGGCTCTAAACACGTGTGGACGAGCCCGGAATTGGGCGGTGCCTAGATCTAGTTATCCGATCCGATTCATTCGCCTAGTTTCGGCGCTTTCCCTATCATTCTAATACCCGAGGGCCTTGTTGGGCTCTTGCGTTGCCAATCACATGCGATCGTAGGTAATAAAAATCCGAGGTTGATGAAAAGAACGGAAGTTCAGTATCGACATTAAAAAGGTCTAATCCCATCGCGATAGTCTTGTGTCAGCATTTACACCAGTGAAGTCGTCTGTTTTCCTTTCTCTTTTGAGGCCATGGTGCTTTTCGCTGACTAACGAGTTTCAGTAATTCCAGGTTGATCTACAGTTTATACAGAAGCTTTCATTCTCCGATCAAGATGTCGCGGAACAATCTGCCTTCGATGATATTTTTCGATGTCCTGGGGACAATTGTGGAATGGAGATATTGCATCGCAAACGAACTGAATACCGCAGCACAAAGGGTTCTGCAGGACCAAGCGCGAGACTTGAGTGCCAATGTGCGAGCACGTGTCTCTGATATGCCCACTTCAAGCTGGCGGGAGATTTCTGAGGAGTGGCATCGCGCGTATATGAATTTCGGAAACTCATACGATACGTCTAAGCCCTTTGTCTCAGTAGACGAGTATAACCGCATTTCCTTGGAAGATATTCTCACCAAACGGCTCCTTCGGGGATTATTCAATGAGGACGACCTCAACGATTTGACGCTCGCTTGGCATCGACTTGACTCACACCCAGATAGTGTTCCAGGCCTTTCGTTGCTGAACACTAAATTGTCGACTTCTACATTATCCAATGGTAATGTAAAACTGCTGGAAGACCTACAAAAACACAATTCTTTGCCTTTCAAGCACATCACTAGTGCGGAGCATTTAGGAGCTTACAAGCCGTCGCCGGAGGCCTACCATGGGGCTGCTCGGAGATTTGGGCTCGAAACTTCGCAATGCTGTCTTGTTGCAGCCCATCTTGAGGACTTGCAAGCCGCTAAAAAATGTGGGTTTCAAACAATCTATGTCGAGAGAGAGTTGGAAGAAGCTTGGGATAGTAAAGACGTTGCGCAAGCAAAGGAGGAGGGATTTGTCGATTTTTGGGTTGGAGTTGAAGGCTCAGGTTTGATTGAAGTTACTCGGTATTTTGGAATAGAAAGCGGATGAATATATTATCCAGCAACCTTCATGTTCTCTTGGATCATTTGGTCACATGTATATATGACGATAGTACATGGATGTATCCGATGCCAGATCGGGAAAGGACATCGGATGATGCACCCCTGCTTTTGTTCGGTGATATCATTACCAGTGATTATTATTAATCACTCACCAGTGTATAGGTCACCCCTTTTTTTTGTAATAGATTGTATGCATTAGTACCGTACTTATAATATGCATTAGCATTCCCTAACTACATAGGTACCTAAAGATTATGATTGGCCATCAGGGAACTATTGAGGCCTGGGCTACATTGAGCACAATTCCATTCTATTACCCGTATTTAGTCCTGGAATCAAAAGACCTAGTCAAGATGTCACAAGTGGAGAGTCATCCCCAATTCGGGGTGCCGCAATTCCGCCAGGTTCCGAGATCCTACTCTTTACCTGTTTTATCCCTTGCATTTTCAATGCATCCACAAAGAATGGAGGGTGAAGAGAGCCAAGTATAGGGCTGTGGATTTTGTTTCCACCGCCGACTCCATTTTGGTAATTTCCACGAAGAACCTTGTTTGAGGAAAGGCATCGATATTGACGTTTTCGGGAGAAGTCAAAAATGTCTCGCTTTCTGTAACGTCACTATTTTTCTTACTTCTTTATTTGCTTCTTTTAAATCAAGGCTTTGACTATAAAGAGCCCAGGAGGAGAAAATCACCTAAAACACTGGTGAAGTCCTAACCACCCCCGATCGTCCGGATCGCACGGCGACAACCAACGTGCCGCACTTCCACAAAATTCCACATATCTCTATCCAGAATCCGAGTGAATAAGCTCATTAGTAGCTGTTCACCATGAAGTCCGACTTGTCAATTTATCGACCAAAGCCTCGCAACCCCTTTCCACCATTTCTCCGCCGTATTCGAATGGAGTACTATCGTTACGAGGTCACGTTTGGGCTTTATGTGATGACCTCTGGCGAGAAGGTCGTAGTCAACGCCCTCGTCATCGTTTTCATGAGCCTTCTCCTTTGGGGTCTGCTTCAGTACTTCCCATCGCTACTCTACCGGAAGGTTATCGGCATGTTATGGTTGTTGACGGGCCATAGTGATCAGAAAGTGGGCATGGTGGTATTGGACAAGAGCAACTTGACGAACGTGTATCTCTGAAAATCCTTTCCAGGGTACGAAGGTTCAGTATCGTCAAAATCGCCAGCTAACGCAGGCGGACAATTTCAACGAATCGCTTCATTTCACCTGCTTGACTAATCATGTGGTATGAAGGGCATGGAAGGGGCTATCAGTCGTCGTCAGCCCTCATGTTCAAAGCTGATAAACCCAAGTGGTATTCTTGGATGATCTGGTCTCGGTTGTTGGTTGTATGCTTGTTTGGCTATATGGTTTGATTACATATAGGGGCATTGTTCCCAATGCTGCTGATTGTTTGCTTTATATGTATCAATACCCTAATTTTTTTTCTTCTACGATCTAGAATTCTTCCTGCATCGCCCTCTTGTTGTATTCCCGTACTTATCCCTAACATCTAAATGGCTCGAACGCGGTGCCTCCCAGGAAATTGGAGAAATTTTGGCATAATAACAACCTACAAGTCATAGGATAGACGCAACCTATCACGCCTTGGCGATCTTCTTCCATGGGTACGATCGGGAAGTACAGCAAAGATAAGAAAGAGTACCAAGATATCTTTAAAGACAAAAAAAAAAACAAAAACATACAACAGTGAGGATTCGCTGGTGGTCACCCACCCAACTACTAACTCACCGGCGTGTGGCTTAAGTACGGCTGAGCGGACGGGAAGCCCTGTTTTCCACACCCTATGGTCGTATGTACTTGGTATAGTACTGTAGAAATAAATTTAGTACAAACAATAACAAAGGAGTGAGTAGACCTAGAGGTACCTAAGGATACCCATTTGGACAGCTGGAAATAAACCTCAGTATATTGGCAAAAATAAACTCCCTATTCCATCGTACCGTATCTGGATGTATACTTATACTTCACAATACACAACCTTGAGAAATATAGTATTAGGAAACTTCACTCTATATATATATACCTATGCACCAGTACATGGAGATAAGTTTAACATCGAGAAGAATAGTCGGCTACACAAGCGGCCTTGTGATGTCTCTCTAGCGGTCTCTTTATCGGTCTCTTTAGGGATCTCATCAGTAGTCTTCTTAGATATCATCATGTGTATATGCCCTGTCAGTTCTATAGGTCGACAGCAAAAAAAGGCGGACAAAGGCTCAGTGAAATGAACTTTTGCAAGTATATCCCTTGAGAAAATAAACCATAGAGAACAAAAGCTCCTTTTATCAAGTCCTATGGCTAACACACAAGCAGAGATTCGACCAATTTCTTTTTCTCAATATGTTCGTATCAACCTCCTCCTGATAATGCCTTGTAAACCAGCACCAAATAACTACTCGATTCCCCTCTACCCCAATCACCCACAAATAGGTTAGTGTTTTCTTGTGAGGTAACTAGTACTATCCCCGTGCCTCGCCCACTTCTGTCAATAAACGCCAGAAAATGCAGCCAGTATCCCATCACGAGACTTTGACAAGTTGGATAACTATCCTAATCGCCGTTAATTTCAGTAGTGTAAAGATATCTTGATAAATATGATAGGAAATGGGAAGCCAATGGTAATAAATTGGAAGAAATGGCTTTGTTCTTGCATAGTTATAGTATATTATTTCACACTTTCATTTCAGTACCCATACTTGAATTTGGTCCTACATCTACCATACTCAGCCTTTCGTACTAGATCTACTTTTCCAGTACTATAGCAAGTACATACGACCATAGGGTGTGGAAAACAGGGCTTCCCGTCCGCTCAGCCGTACTTAAGCCACACGCCGGTGAGTTAGTAGTTGGGTGGGTGACCACCAGCGAATCCTCACTGTTGTATGTCGGTGTTCACCCGTTTTTTTATGATTCGTTGGGAAATTCCCTCTTGCCGCCCTAACGTTTAGCCCATTCCGCCTATTCACCTGAATGCCCTGAAGCCCGTCTATTCTTTACCTGATCGCCCTGAATACCCCTGAAGACTGACGTGGCCCCTTGGCTAAACTTTCCCTCCCTAGTTCCTGCTTGAGAAGTCCCAACTTGATGGCATGAACTGATCCTGATTGGAGCTGACCATGGAAAATAGATTCACTGTCGCTATTATAACTGTCTGGTCTGGTCTTGGTTAGGCCTTGACAAATCACGCGGTACCAGTACCGTAGTACCAGTAACGTGCCGTGACTAAGGGTTCACTCCGGTCTCTACGGTACTAAGCTTAGCGGTACTGATGCTCTGGTCCTATACCGTAGTACCGCAACGGTAGTACCGCGGTACTATAAATAGTATAAATATAGCTAAATTTATAGGATCCTATGATTTATATAAGTTATATAGAAAATCTATATATTTTTAGGTATTTAGCTTATAGCTTTAAAATCCCTAACAGTTATAAATTATAATATATAAAATTTAATAATCTTAAAAATCTTTATTCTAAAGTCTACCTCTACTTCTTTATATATATATTTATCCTTATCTCTATAGCGCTTCCGCTCTCTCTAAGGATACTAGCTCTTAGAGACCTATCTTTAAGTAATTAAAATACTTAGTAAGGGGAGTTTAGTTAAGTTATCCTCTATATTATTAGTATTATCGTTTTCGCTATTACTATTAGCCTTACTACCTTCCTCTTTATTATTACCTTCCTCTTTATTATTACCTTCCTTTTTATTATTACTAATTATAGCTATATTATAATTAAAGAGCTATTCTTCTTCCTCTATATTAGCCTCTAGCTATTTAGTTAGATCTTTACTTTTTATAAAAAGCTAAGGTTTAGAACTTTCTATATTAAATCTAGTTAAATAACAAAATATTATTAGATCCTAGATAGTTTTTATATTAAGAGACCTATATTAGTAATAATAGATATTATAAGTAAAGCTAAATAAGTACTTTATACTTATATTAGTAGTAGGAATTAAGAAGATATCTTATATAAGGGCTATAAGTATTAGGAACTCCTTCTTATAAAGTCTTTAGAATTAATATAGATTATCTTTATTAGTACCTAAAATAATTAGTTAGCTATAGACTTAAGATTAGTAGATAATATATATATAAAGATTAAGATATCTTTAGAGTTCTTTTTACTAATATAGCTTTCTTAGTATTAGAGTCTAACTTTTTAACTAAGCTTAGGCTAATAGACTAGATATTATAGTACTAGTTAGTACCTTACCTTTATTTACTACCTATATATTTAGCTAATCCTAGAAGTACTCTTTAAGATAGGAATATAAAGAGCTTTTATATTTATAATACTAATCTTAGTTATTACTAACCTAGTTATTACTTTTAAAGTAGTCTAACTTATATAATAGGGTAAGAATTATCTTTATTATATAAAGATATTTATAAGCTTCTTTAGTATTATAGTAGTAGACTAAAAGTTTCTATTTACTAGCTTTTAAAGCTTATAATATAGCCTATTTCTATAGGACTCTCTTCTAAGCTAATAGATACTAAGTATCTTTAAAATAGCGGAATAGTATATTATATACTTTAAAGATAGAGGATATAGTTATATCTTTAATCTTAGAAAGTCTAATAGTCTATATATAGAAAGGCTTTATAATATAAAGAAGGTAATTAACTTATTACTACTCTTATAGATTAAGTTAAAATTAAAGCTAGTTATATACTAAGTAGTATTAGTTAAATACTTAAAAAAGGTAGTTTACCTATTAGAGTATTAGATATATAGAGTTCTAGTAAGTCTAGATATCCTATATTAGTATAAGCTTTAGCTTAACTTCTTAAAGATTTAAGAAAAAGTCTCTTTATTAAGGGCTTATATTAATAAAGACTATAAAAGTATAAATCTATAGTATTAGTTAGGGATAATAAAAGAAGAAATATAAGATATAGCTTACCTTTATAAAGGTATAGATAATACCTTCTTTAGACTTTATTT